AGCCAAGAGCAGCCCAGACGCAGCTGAGAGAAGGGGAAGAGCCAGCCTGCCTGCTCCCTGCCTGGCCTGCCTGCTCCCTGCCTGCTCCCTGCCTGGCCTGCCTGCTCCCTGCCTGCTCCCTGCCTGGCCTGCCTGCTCCCTGCCTGCTCCCTGCCTGGCCTGCCTGCTCCCTGCCTGCAACGTTCCCACCACAAGTCAGTTAATTGGGCAATTCCACTGCTTTAAAAAATGGTACTTGGGGAAGTTTAGTAGCATGGGGGAAGATCAGAACAGGCGATGGAGCTGCTGCCCATCAGCAGCGGATCAGCACCGACCAGCCACCGCCGCTGCTCTGGCTGGAGGAGAAATTTTGCACCCTCCAGCACAGACCCCCCCACCCGACCTCCGTCTCCCCCTCCCCAGCAGCCTGCTGGTCCCCGGTACCTGCTGGTGGAGCCCGAGGCGCAGCGTCACTCCCTCGCTCCCCTGCTCGTCGTTGCTCTCGGTGCCGTGGAGGTGTTTGCTGAATTTGGGGAGAGGCACGCTGGGTTTCCCGTCCGGGTTGAACATGTTGGCTGGGGCCAGCACTATGAAGGCGTTTGTAACCGGACCTGGGACGGGACAAGAGGAGGGGACGGGTCAGACTTCCCCCCTCCGGTAAGGTTGCCTCTTGCCTGGCATCTTGGGCAGCCCCGAGAACAGAGTACAACCCACGGCGCAGGCAGCTGCCAGGGCTCCTGCCTTCCTCCCCAGCACCTGGGAAGAGGCAGAGCCCCTCTCCCCGTCCTTGGCAGCGGGGACGCGGCTCCGCAGCCTGGGCCCGGCGGGGAGGAGCAGGGCAGCCCGGCCGTCCTCCGCAGAGCCAGCCATCCATCAGCGGCTGCCGCTCTTGCAGCTGTCTCCTGCAATGATCTATCACACACTCTCGTTTGGCAGAGCTAATGAGTGCTTTAATTACTGCATTTACCCACACAGGCTGCTGCTTTCTGTCAGCAGCCCCCTCCGCCCCCCCCTTCCGAACTCGTGCTCGCTGGCGAACTCCCACCGCTGCCCCCCACGCCCCAAACCTCTCCCCGTCAAAAAAACCAGCAGCCAGCGGGCTCGTGTGCGAGCAGAGGAGTTCAGTCACCGCTAATAAATCCCTGACCATCCATCTTCCCCCGGACGAACTCGACAGCGCGAAGGGAAAGGTTAAAAGGATCCAGATGCACCTGAGCGGAGGTAGGCTGCCGCAGCACCCGCCCGGCGTCCCTGCCAAAGGCAGCGGGGAAAGGTGCAGGACGGGGCAGCGAGGCAGGGAGCCTGGGGGGGGGCCCCGGAGGGGCTCAGAGCTGCCTGAGGCTTTCAATCTCTGCAGAGGAGATGGACAAAAGCACCTCTGATGCAGACGAGGGCTCCCTCGCCATCATCTCCCCCTCCAGCTAGACCAGAGCCTGCTCCAAAGCCTGACCCTCCCAGGATCCAAGGCTGGATCCCGCTGGCAAAGCAAAGGCTCCACTGAATACTCGGTCGAGAAGCTGCTCTGCCAGCAGTCCCAGGCTGGCCCCGAAGCTGCTCTTTGCCAACACTTTGCTGTAACAAACCATTGTTTTACTCTTGCTCCCTCCCTAAAGACAAGACGTTTGCTGCTTCTTATGAAAATATCCATTAGTGAGATTAACACTGCTGGTTCACTGGCAATTCGAGGAGCAATTTTAAAGGAAGGGACAAGACAGGCAGAGAAGAGAAAATCTCACGAACTAGCCCACAGATCCCCAAATCTGGTCACCATCCAGGCGCAGACGCCCCAGCCGTTCTTGGGCCCCAATGCAGATGCAAGTCCCATCCAACCCCCCCTCGTCACGACGGCTAGGGCACCAGGCGGTGGGTGACACCCTGCCAGTGTGGGCAGAGGGACTGATTCAACTGGGGGAGAATAAATAATCCGGCTCCCAACACTGGCAGCTGCCAGCAGGACGGATTGGCTGGAGCATCCCCGGGGCGGCCTTGCATGAACGAGCCCTCGGGGACGGTCTGTGCCACACGGTGTTTGCGGAGAAAAGGACAGAGCTTATGTGACAGGACAGGAACCAAGGCCCGGAGAGGTTTTGGGGCAGACCTGGCAAGAAAACCGGGGAGCGCTGGCCTCCCCATCCCAGAGGTCCCCTGCTTCCCCTCAGAGCAGGGCCAGCCACGCTGGGTGACCGGGAGCAGCCCTGCCTTGCCCGGCACAGTCACAGCTCGTTACCCAAGAGCAGCAGCTCAGTTTCTCAAAGTCCATGCGCCGGCCCGTGCTCTGCCCCCCTGCCTGCCCGCCCTCATCAAGGACAAGCAAACCTTGCTGGAAAAGCCCCCTGCATCTGTCCTGCCTGCACAGCCACGCTCCTCTCGAGCCCTGAGCCACGCTCCAACCTCTCTGATCTATTTGCAGCACCATCATGAGGGGAGGGCAGTGGTTCCTGCCTTGCCCCCAGCTACCCGCTCTGCCCCGCGAGCAGAGGGACCTTGCTCTCCCAAGCACACCAGGCCGGAGGTTGCGTCATGTCATTGTCATGTCAGCCGCGGCAGAAAAGCCCGTGTCATCCCTGCCTTGGGAAGGGAAAGGCTCAGGGAACGTGCCGGAGGGGCGAGCAGGGCAGCAGCAGGGAACAGACCTTGCTGGGAGGCTCACGTCACTGCTCGGAAAGGCGGTGAGAAAGGCCAAGGGGAGATGGTGACCCGCTGGAAACCTGCAGGGAACTCGCTGCCCCACTAAGGCGGGGTGGCACGGCTGCTGAAGGGAGGCAGCGCTGGGACAGAAGAGCTGTGGAGCCCCCGACACAGGGAGGCTGGGGAACCTGCACTCTGTGCGGGGACCCTCCTCCCACGGTACAGCTCTGTGGTGGTGGGCTCCCCTGGATGGCAGCTCCTGATCCACAATACAGCTCCCACCCCGCTCCCAGGCTCAGATTAAGCACACAGCAGCAGCAGGGCGGTACTGGTGCCAGGGCTGCCAGGGAAGCCAAATCCCTGCCCGCAGGAAGAAGCGAGCCAGCAGAGGCTGTAGAAAGCACCCGCACCTCACGGCCCTGGCACCCAGCGGCACGGTCAGCCTGGTCCTGCCGGGACCAGGGCAGAGCTTGCGTCCATCTGCACTCCCCTGCGGCCTCGAGGAGGGTTTTAATGCCTGGCTCGCAGTGAGAGCTTGGCCCCCCTCCTCTGATGACTCACACAGCTCAGATTTTGTCTGCTTTCACCCCTCTAGTGCAAGGCTGGACAGGCACTGCAGTAGGTCCCCATTAGAAACGGTCATTGGCAGCAAAAGGGAAAAAGGAAAGGGTCTGCGGGCAGCCTGGCTTTCAGTGACTGCCCTGGGGCAGCAGCTTGCCCACCTCTGTCCAGGGGCAGCATCACAGAACAGGGTCTGACTTTCACCACCGTCACCTTCTGGGAGGGTTTTAGGCAGTGCCCGGAGAGCAGCGCTGCCGGCCCCACCAGCGAGAGCGGTGTTAAGAGGCCGGAGACCACCACAAGCGTAGGAAAAAAAACACTGTTAGCAACAGCTCAAATGCAGCAGGAGGGCTAAATCATCCGCTGCTCTCAGGCACCTAATTGCTGATCTGAGCCTGTAAGGGTTTGTTTGCATGGTTTATCGGAGCCATTAGACTGAAATTCCAGACGACTGCTTATATCGGATTCACTTCAGGCCTAATGAACTCATGGGTCCTTGTTGCTGGGGTCACAGAGACAGTCTCTTCTCCAGACACATCTTCCCCCTCCCACAGCCTCCCCAGGCGTTAGGGTGCATGTGGGGCAACCGCTCCCTTTGGAAAACAAGGAGGAAGATGCTGGATGTCCTCAGCAACAGGGTGAAATCTATGACTCACTCCCTGACAGTGCACAAGGGGGTCGTTAACAGACATGGGCAAGGTCAAAACGCTACTCCAGACAGCTAAGACATCCCTCTAATGCCTCTACCCCTCCTTGAGGTGTGAAGCAAGTGGCAGAGAAATGCCTGAAGTGCCCAGGGCAGCATCAGAGCAACAGAAGCGAGACAGCAGCGGCCTTTGGCAGTTGAGGAGGAAAGGATCCCGGAGATAAGGGCATGACTACCTTTGTGATTCATCGTCTTCAGGCACTGCTTGCTCTGGATGTCCCACAGCCGGACTGTTTCGTCGTGTGAGCCGGAAAGCAGCAGGCTGCCATCCGTGGAGACCGACAGACACGTCACCTGGTTCCTGGAATGGGGAAGAGGAAGTTTAAACTCAGGATGACCCGAGGACTGCCAGAAACTGGTGAGGTGGGCAGACGGGGGCGATGAATTGTTTGGCAGGTATGTCTGGTCCCTCACCTGTGCCCTTTGAAGACCTTCCCATTCTCCCGCTCTGTCTGGAAGGTCCGGTCTCTCTGGACCGGCTGCAGAAATGAAGGAAGGAAGGGAGAGAGCGGTTTAAATTCAGGAAGACTGAAGCCAGCAGGTTCATCACTGTGTCTGGAGGGGGCAGAGGAGATACAGGGGAACCCAGGCCCTCCCACGCCCTGGCAGGTCACACCAGTCACGTAGGCGGGGAGGTGACAGTAGCTCAGGCTGCCACGTCAAGGCTGGGCTGCATGACAGCAGCACCGAGCAGATCTGCAGCCCCAGGCACTCACCCAGGCACAGAGGTCAACCTGGAAGATGGATCCGTCCATGCCGCCGCAGAACATGTGATATTCGGAAAGGTCAAGAGTCACAGCCATGATGCCCACATCGAAGAGGACGGAAAGCAGGAGCTCCCCGGATGAGATTTCCCAGAGCTGGAGTGAGAGGGTACAGGAGAATTAGGGGCTTAAATGTTAACGGCAGGATTGGAAGAACACGCTGCTGCTTATCGGCACCTGCCCAGCGGCAAGCTGGCAGCACATACCGGCATCCCCTCCTTGCTGCGGATGGGGAAACTGAGTCCAAGGCATAAGCACGGCAGAACCCAGGATCAGCCTCTTCATGATCATAACAAGTTTCCCAGGCAGCTCCGAAACAGCCCTTAACCCCCTCGCGTGCCCGTCCTGCCCCCCAGGGCAGACCCCTCTCCGCAAGGCAGGAGGAGCAGGCTGCGGGCTCCAGGCTGCTCTGCTCCCTGCCCTTCGAGGCTAAAGGACATCAGCGAGGGGAATCAGAGGAGCTGACCCCCACATTCCCCAGGAGGAGAGGGACTGCAAAGCACGAAGAGGCCCAGCCTGAGGGCAGGTGCAGAGAAACTGCTGGTGTTTGGAGAGGCAAAGCCCATTAGGTCCGGCAGCTCTGAGTCATCACAGAGACAGCCAAGAAATTCAGCTACTGCAACCCTCACGGACAGCTTTGCTGCAGCCCAGCAGAAGCTCTGCTTTAACCCTCTGCGGCCTGCGCACCTCCGGGACTCTTGTTCAGCGGGACGGAGCCAAGCCTTACCTTTGCTGTCTGGTCAAGGGAGGCTGTGGCAGCTCGTGCCAAGGGCCCTCCAAAGCCACAGCACAAGTCCGTGATGGGGAGGCTGTGTCGGGACCACACGTGGCGAGGGTCAGGGATCTGGGAGGGCTCTGCCTGCAGCACGCTGTAGGGGAGAACAGAGAGACGGGTTGGCTCGGCAGGTCAGCAAGAGCAACGCTGGGGATGCCAGAGCAAAGCGGCTGTGAGGGGAGCTGGCCGAGGCTCTTCTGCTTCCTCTGGGATGGCTCTCCTGGCTGCAAGGACCAAGCAGGACACAGAAGCCATCAGCGTCCACAGCACATGCGATACCGAGGACTAGGGTCACTACTGAGCTCCCCATCCCAGAGGGCACAGAGACCTCAGCTGCCACTAGCAGGGAAAGGGCACAATCCACTCTGTGTCAAGCAGGGAAAAGAAGTCAGAGCCATATGGCACAGCTTGGAAAACTCAGATTAGACACTAGGAAAAACCTCTCTGGCAGCGAAGACAACAGCAGTGGAACAGCCGCCTAAGGAGGGCACAGACTCATCATCACGAGCAGGCTTTACGAACGGGCTTAGGCAGAGCTGATTCCACCTCCGGGAAGCGGTGGCTGATCTCTTGTTCTAATATTCCACACCCAGATGCTCCCTGTCCCCTGTACGAATGAGCCGAGACCTCCCCACGGGCCACCGTTACCTGTAAAGGTTCCACACCAGGGCCAGACAGTCCTTCGCCCCCGAGAGAAAGTGGCTGCTGTCGTCAGTAAAGCAGAGGCATGTGAGGTCCTGGTAATGTCGGTTCAGGATGGCTAGGAGGTTCCCGTTGGAGACCTAGAGCAAGGGAAAGGGCAGGAGAATATTAAGAAAGGAGCACTGAGATGCCCCGGAATAACATAGTGCCCTGCCCTCAACGGCTGCGGGTGCAGCAGCACCCGCAGCTCCCTCCCCAGCTGGGCATTGCTGTGCCAGGTGCGAGCAGAGCGGAGAGTCCCCACTCCGTGGAGCCGCGCAGAACACGGCAGCGAGCGGAGGCGGCAAGCGGAGTGAAAAGGGAAGGTTGCGCCGACCGCGCGAGCCCATTTGCACCTCACCGGTGGCAACCGACGCGATCAAGGTGCAACCAGTACAACCACATACACTTATGACCAAAGGTAAATACAGCAAAGGCAGTTTGAAGAGGCCCTGCCCACGTTAACTCTGGAACCTAGTGATGCCAGTGCCATTCCTCTGGTCAAGACACAAGCGTGCAGTAAAGATTTCCTGTTTACTGTTAACATTACCCTCATGGCTTCTTCCCACCTCCCCCGTCTAATGAGATGGCTGCGGGGGTTACGAAAGCCGCGCTCTGCAGGAGGCTGCGTGCCACCCCGGGGGTTGCTGCATTTCAGCACGGCTACATGGTCTCGGGCCAACAGAGGCGTTAGGGTGGACAAGGAGTTCCCTAAACCCAGAGCTTTTCTTGTCGAAAGGCAACATCGCAGATAGGGAGGGAACTAAGGAGGCGGCGAGGGAGCCCCGTATAAAAGAACAGAATCGACTCTCTCTTGTCTGAATTACAACTAAAAAGAAAACCAGACTGCAATTCAATGGAGAACAAGCGGTCCCACAGAGAAGGCACAAAACTAGGGCTCTTGGGCACATTTCCAGCTCTACGACGGTTTCCACGCAGACTCTCCGAGGCGCCTGTTCCCTCTGCCAGGAGGACAGTGCCGTCACCCACGCCAGGCAGACGCTCGGAAGCGTTTGCAAGGCAAGGCTAGCTGGGGGCAGACCGAAAGGGCCCCTCTGAGCAGAGACCAGCTCAGAGCATCACGAGCGAGTAACTCCCACTTGCTGCAGTCTCAGCCCGGCACTCCTTGTGAGGGCTTTTTTTCCAACATTGCCACAAGCACATTTTTAAAAGAAACATCTGATAAATTAAGATAGAGCCACCCACATAACAAGGCTCAGAAACATCCCCCAGGACTGAGAGCTTTCCAGGTTAGACATCTCGGTGTTTAATCCCAGGGCTCAGAACAAGCTTGTTCTTTTATTTGCTTGGTGAAGTGCTTAGAACGTAGTGTAATCCCCACGTAAACACACCACTAATTAAAAATAGAAGGATGATGACCAGAGCACGGCAGTCTCTGCAGGCATCCAGATCACAAGTCACATACAAATATTAGGCTAAAACGTGGAAGAAGTGCTAAAGGAAAACCAGGTCCTGTGTTTCTGCTTTCAGGGAGCAACATCTGACCCCTGAGGCATCTGTAGCAGCTTGGAAAGAGAAGGAAAGAACAGACCTAAGCCTCATCCAGCACCTCCCACCACAATTCCTTTTCCTCCCTGTTTTGACGATCTGCCCCGTGGTCTGCATGCCCACGGAGGCCGCCGAGCAGCCAGCCCCAGCCCCTCGGGGCAACACGGAGCCCGGACCGCACCAGCCACAGCTGTAATGTACACGACCCAGCAAAGCCTTCGCCCCACTGTGGAGCCCAGATAACGTGGATTTACTGACACCTGACGGGACAGGGGCGCTCGCTAACCGTGCAGGATGCGAATCTCTGCATCCCCATTCCCCGTGCCAGCCGGCAGCCCCCCTACCTCCCACAGGTAGATGCTCTCAGCAACCCCAGCCAAGATGTAGAGCCCGTTGGGAGAAGCCGTCAGGCAGGTCACCGGCCCAGGGCATATGATCTTCTGCTGGAGCTGGTCCTGGGGGCAGAATGAACACAGTGACCCTTCAGTAGGGGCTGGAGTACGGGAGGGAGAGAGAAACAAGACCCTGGTTCAGTTGAGAGAAGAGGCAGCTCAGGCAGCGTCCGACGCGCTGCGGCTGCCTGCGTTTGAGCCGTGCCCTCAACCCTCATCAGCAGTGCCGCGGTTTGGAGATTCGATGCCGAAGAGGAAGATGATGGAGGAGCACAGTCCGTGTGTGCAAATCGCATCGAACTGCTCTGCATTTTGCTGTTTTGTCGCAGTTGCTTTGTGTTTAGCCCTGCAGGGAAAAAGGTAAATTCCCCTCCCACCCTCCTCCGCCCACACGCAGCAGGAGGGGTACCGAAAGGCAAGGGATCTGGATGCAGTTATGCTCCACAGCTGGGGAACCTTGGAGATTCAGCAGAAAACAGGCTCAGAAGATTACAGCAAAATAACACTGATAAAAGATAAAAAAAAAAAAAAAGAGGATGCGCGCTCACGGCCTGGGAGAAGAAGCAGCAGGTCTGAGAGCAGCTCCCCACAGCTCGGGGACACTGGAAAAACCAGACCCTGAGCTGTGGGAGCGAAGGGTCTGCGTGTGCCGAAACCCACGGGCTGCTGCTGCTCTCTGCAGCAGAACTGAGGGGAACGACAGGGAACGGAGAACTTACGGCTGTGTTTGCTACTGTCCGGCCCTAGTTTAAGCACAGGTGGGATGCGGCTAGCAGGAGGAGAAAGGGGTACGGCCGTGTAGGGACGGGTGAGGTTTGTCCGGCTGCCTTTAAGCTTCCATTTTTGGCTGGAAGGCGCAGAGAGCGGACCGAGGCGACGGGAGGCCCCAGGCGAAGCGGGCCCAGCGGCGGGGTGCCCGCATCCCCCCGGGCTCTGCCTCGACAGGGACCGT